TTATATATATATATATATATATATATATATATATATATTTATCTACATTATATTACATGTATTTAAATATTTCAATTATATTAATTATAATTATATATGTTAAGACATTATTGAAGATATATTTTGCAAATGAATTTCAATAATTATTAATAAAATATTAATGTTTAATATTTATTTCAGAAGTTTTTATAAGACCAGAAAATATCAATATTATAATTTTTGATTATTTTTTTTATAAATTTTTTAGCATTAAATATTTAAATGTCAAGTTTCATAACTATTTAGAATCTTGTTTTCTAACATTTCCTGTTTAAAGAGGAAGTAAACACGTCATTTCACGTGAACTTTGTATTAGTTATTATTTCGATTTGTAACCAAATCTATTAATTATATTTTTTTTATCTTCTTATTTTTCGAATTAAAATTATTAAAATTAATTTGAAATGTGAACTCAATAAAAATTAAAATTTATTTTAGTTATTTTCTTTGTTTTATTGTACATTTATAGGTTATGAAAAATAAAGGAAACAAATTATGAAACTGAATTTCTGATAAAATGATTTCAATAATAATAAAAGTATTTTTTACAATTATTTTATATTTTATATTTTTATTGTATCATAAATATTCAATTAGTGAAAAATGAAAGTATATTCATAAAGTACAAAGTGCATAAGTTGAATCAACATGCAATCTGCATTCGTCACACGTGTACAATAATGATAAGTATTTGTTCGATACAAAGAGAAAACAATACAATCTTTATCTCATATCAATAATCAAGTACATCGATCATTAATTTATATTTGTAAATATTTATGCGGAATATGTATTAAGGACTAAATGTCAATAAATCGAACATTTGATGTAGTTATTGCATGTAATTTCAACGATATATCGTTATCGAATATGAATGTGAATGTCATTATCATTTCTTGATCTTAAAATCAAACAGTGAAATTTGAGATTCACTGTTCCTATCATAAATGTAGAACAATGGTCAGTTCTTTCGAATGATATACATAAAGAATTGTATTTCAAGCAGTAATATTTAATCTCGAATTCTACTGATAAAACTCTTTAACGTGAGTATAAAAAAATTAATTAGCATGATTTTGCACATGCAATCATTTTATGTATATTGAATCCTTTTAATTCTTTTAAAAATTCTTTTTCATCTCTCGAATCTTCCTTTTATGCTAAATTATACGATATATTGTGAATTATCATCACAAATTTTATCAATGAAAAAATGTAGTAAAAAAAGATCTATATATTTTTAACTGTCCAAACAAATCGTTGAATTCGATTACTCGAATTACGAATTAGTAACTTACCACATAAGAATATTATGGCAGTGAATATAGTCGAATATTTGAACATCCTTGATAAAGAATATTCAACCAGTGATTGTGATGATATTTGTCGACGTCGAAATCCTGTCAATGAATATCCCGCGAAAAAAAATATATCAATATGACGGAATTACGAAATAGAAATATATCTTCAGTTACGCATAACTATTGTATCACTTCAGTAGCTTTGTATGCATTCGAACGTACTCTGTTTATTATGAGAAACGTGCATTGATGTGTCAGCTTTGCCCAGAAAATTAGTGAAAGCAAGATAGACAAGAAAGTGAGATACAATACTTTAGAAAATGAAAGATAGAAATATACTGTGGCGACTCGCACGAACGATATTCCAATACTGAATTTGTAAGCGCACGCGCTCCGCTTATATAAATCTTATATTCTTCATATCTGTGTTAATTTTAATCCAATTTTATATATGATGTAAATCTATTTACTTTCGATAATTTTTATTGTTTTAAAAAGAAAAAAATATTTATTAAATAAATTATTGTAATAATCATTATAATACTATTTGATAGTACTTTTACAAAAGTATAGATTTCAAATAAAATTGTAAATGTAAAATGTAAAATTTAAATAATCATTTAAATGTAATATTTTATATTAAAGGAATTTTATAAAATATAAATTTTTTATTCATAATATTTAATTAAAAAAATAATGACGACGAATCCTCGGTAGTATAGTGGTCAGTATCCCCGCCTGTCACGCGGGAGACCGGGGTTCGATTCCCCGCCGGGGAGGTTTTTTTCTACTTTTTCATAATTTTCGAATAATTTTTTTTTTTATAAATAATTATAAATACTAAAATATATCTAATAATTAAATTGATAAAATACCTAAAAAGTATATTTTATATATATATTTTAGAATATATATATTTTCAAAAAATAATAAGATTTAATATAAATTAAAATATCAAATATTGTTGAGTGTATTAATAATCAATCAAATAATACGCTATATATAATATATTACCTTTACAATACCATTATTTACAAACAGTGATGTCCAAACTTCTAATTCAATATAAATTGTTATTTTTACATTAGAACATTAATTATAATTAGAATAATAATTGAGCTGTTTGCAAAAACATATTTATATTAATATTAGTAAATCGAAGAACAAGATAATTTGAAATTAATTCTGTATTTTTTTATATGGAAATAATAAATATAATTCAGTTTAAAAAATGTAAAATAAAAAGTAACAATTATACTCAATCAGAAAATAGTATTATTTATGTGTATTGTATAATGTGTATTATATGTATTATATAATTATATGTATTATATATATATATATATATATATATATATATTATATTCTTATTTTGAAATAATAATATTTATTTTTATGTTATTATATTATTTATTTATATATTATTTATACAAATATAAAAAATTAATAAAAAGTAATTTATTTGGACCTAATTTAATACCATCTATGAATAATAATATGTTAATAATAATTGTAACAAGACATTGAAAATGATAATATTAGTTTTGATTTTTAAAACTTATTTCAAAATATATCTATTTCGTCATTAGTGAATAAGAAAATAAAACATCACTAAAATCCTCGTTAGTATAGTGGTTAGTATCCCCGCCTGTCACGCGGGAGACCGGGGTTCGATTCCCCGACGGGGAGGGTACTTTTTTTTTATTTCTATGTTCATTAGTAATTTATTTAAAATTATTAATTGCAATTTATTTAATAAAATTCTTTATTTATATTTATTTTTGGTATCTTTTTTCTTGAAAATTTTAAATAATGTTTAAAATCATTGAACTTTTTAACTTGCGATATAATATAAGTAAAATCATAATTTATGATTCCTTTAAAAGATTAGCTTTCTTTTCTCCCGTATTCAAATATCCATTTATATTTTTGAAGCTCATATTTTTTTTTCACAACATATATTATATTTTATAATCATATACATATAATATTATATGTGTATGTATTGTATATTTTTATATTAATCGCTATCTAGATTTTCTATATTCCTTAATGTGTATTAATAAAAATAAGTTGTAAATTATACATTTATATTAAACAATAAACACAAGAAATTTCTAAATAAAAAAGATTTAAGACCTTCTTCTTCTATACATTTGCATTCGCAATATTACTTATTATAACTGCAGCAACTATAATTATATAGTCATTACATTTTTCAATGAATCTATTCTAGATACTCATATTTTTCTAACTTATTATAACATGTATATACAACATATATATATATATATATATATATATATATATATATATATATATTATTATTATTACTA